TAATGGAGTGTTTTATGGTGTTTTCCGTGGTGTTTTGGGAAGCCCTACAGTAACGCACAGCACGTTCACATGTAATGAAAAGGTCCTGCACTTTATGAGATCAAAATCAACGGTGTCTCAGCCGGAAACTCCACAGGGAAGTGTCCAGAGGTGCAAACGGGAGTTTTAGCCTGAATTCCTTCTGGGTCTCATGGGAGCTAATGGGCTGCCTGTGTGGTGCCTGTTGGAGACGTTCCCTGCAGAGAGCCGGGAGAGGGGCTGTGCCGAGGAGGGGTCTGGGGAACGGCACAGCAGAACCTGTGTCCAGGGGTTTGGGGAATAAAGGATGCAGCTGGCTTGGGAGACCTGCAAGCGCTTGCGAATCGAACAACAACAAAGGAGAGTTTCTCTCCCTTTGGGTGAAAAACCCCAAAGCCGTTTTCTGCCTCCGCGGAGTCTGGAAATGCCCAAAGTGTGTCTGGCCACGTGAGAATGCTTTTTCTCTGGCCTTTGTAGGTGAACTCAAGCTGTGCTCCTTCTTGAGCAGGCCTGGGAGCCCTGCTCCGAGGAAAGCCTGCGGTGGGGCTCTCTGCAGCGCAGGTTTCGCTGGAGAAATCTGGAGCACTAACAGGGCAAGAATGTTCCTACGGTCTTGGAGAGAAGTCTCATTACTGTCCTGTGGTCTAATTTGTATTCTGTGGTATAGGAAGGAGACAGAAAAAGTAAGAAACTTTCCACAAATAGCCTGGAGCACTGTGGATGTTTATACAAATAAAACATGTTTTTGTGAGCATTTGATAGCAGAGAATAATTTTAAGTTAAATAATTTAAGCTTGATCTGTTTGATTAAATGTTAGGATGTGGCCGTTGCACTTTTTTTAGCAACCCAAAGGCGCCTCCTAAATAGCTGGGGCACAAAGCGGTTTCTGGAAGCTCTGTGTCTTGTTTAAGGATGGCCCGGCAGGAGCCCGCTCGTTCCGCCCGGGTAAATGGGGAGACGCCGCAGGTCGGGCGGGAGCGGCTCAGCCAGGGCGGCAGCCCCAGCTCGCCGGCCCGTG